GTCTAGAGAACAGGAGCCAGGAGGGGAGGCTGAAAGAATTCGGCTTGTTTCGTTTGGAAGTTTATAATCCTTCGTCAAGTAGAAAACCATCAGTCCTGGGGTTTTCTGACCAAACACAGATTTCACCTTTCCTTGACTCGTTGTTTATACAGGTTTACAATATATACACGCAGCTAATAAACTGAGGTACAATAGCATTACCCTTTGACAAAACAACAATACAACAATAGGCTGCAATAAGGTTCCCAGGCAGATTAAACTGGTTTAAGCACAAGGAATGTGGCTTGAGATTTGGCAGAGAAACAGCCAGGAGATACTTATCTGTTCTACGTCAGGGCGCACAGGGGTAGGCTGGCTGAAATGTCACTCTTAAACGAAGAAGCTGATTTGATTGGCAACACAAGTTACTAAGTCAGCCCCGTTATGGGAGAAGGTCTCTGCAAAGATCGGAGCAATATCTGCCCCAAATCCTGCCATCGACAGCGTCGATATCATTGGGCTCCAACAGAAAGATGCAGAATTCAATCGGTTGCTTAACGTTGGCAAAGTAAAATGATGGAGGATCTTTAAAAATTCATATGGCACAAAAGGAAGGTGGGGATGAGCGTGTATCTCTTGCCGTTCTAGCAATACCCAGGGTCGTCCAACAGGAATTGATTCAGCTCCCAGCGGATACCCTGCAGCGGCCGCCCAGGGTGGGGGCCTCGTTAACCCAAAAAAAAAAAAAAGTTGCCGGTACTCCAGGGGAAAAGTTGTTGAGTTCTGACTGGAGGTGCTGGTACTGCATCTGGAGGTGCCTGTCAGGGCCGGATTAAGGTGGGGGCTAGCCGGGCCATGCGCCCGATTGCAGCTGTAAGGTGTGCAGCGCGCCAGGGGGCAGGGCCGCGCATGCGCCATGCACCTGGGGCAGAGCCATGCATGTGTCACGCGCCTGCTGCCCGGGGCACCAGAATTGCTTGAGCTGGCACTGTGCCTGACATGCCGCGAAATGACTGTTGGAAACTGCATTCAGCAGGTTTGGGTTACCTAATGCAATTGACTGAGACACAGGTAGTTATTTGACCGGAAAGGTCATCAGACAGGTGTGTGCGGCCGTGGGAATCCGACAGAAATTCTGTATCGCAGGGCACCCCCAATCTTCGAGATTGGTGGGGAGAAGAAATAGGACATTGAAAAATGGCCTGCGAAAAGTAGATTGGGGCATTAGTAGAAAAGATTAGGACATTAAGTGTCCTATGATCTTCACGGCGACCCGATCGACGGTGGGACATTAAGTGTCCCGTGATCTTCACGGCGACCCGATCGACGGTGGATTCACATGGGTTCAGCCCACATGAAGTGCTGCTCAGATGACCAATGTGCGCACCTGAGAAGTGTTGGTTTCCAGGCTGGGTTCCTCCTGACGAATTCCAGTCCAGACACGTATCGGAAATGCGGATAAACTTCTCACCTGTATTTCAGAAATACAGAAATCGGTGACAGTTCATGTAAAAAGCAACATAAAAAGCAGGGACCAACGCTCGCATAAGAATTTCATGTTCCAGGAATGGGACCAGGGAGATCCGGTCATGTACAAATCATTCATGGAAAAGGCACATGTATTAAGTCCGCATTTGGATGGGACCTGCTAAAATCACCCACAAAGCAGGGCCCACTGTTTACCACGTTGAAGCAAATACAAGAAGGAAGAAGAAAGTGTTAAAATGGTTTAAATTAAATTAATGAAGATTGCCTATCTCCTAGAACTGTAATCTCTTCTCTTCGCTGCAGGGGCAATTCAGAAGGGAGGGTGAGATTCCGTCTAGCTGTTTGGTACTTAGTTATAATAACCTTTGATCTAGCTTTAACATATGGAAATTGCACCTGTATTAATTTGCAGGCCTGTGTACACCAACCAAAGTTAGGCTATGCATGTACCACTCAGGTCTGGGAGGAGGAGAGTTCATGGTTAAATCCAGCTTGAGGTGTTTGTACTTGCGAAATCTTTCACAAACAGGTAACTGCTGCATCTGCTGTGGTCGGAACAGGTACAACTTGCTTTTGCGTACAAAGGAAAGGTGTTAGGTTTATGGTAAACCGGTTTTATAATATTTCCGACACAGGCGTGGGGAATGTGTGTCTGTGCCAGGTAGTAACATTACAAGGACGTGATGTAAATGTTATGTTTGACATTACAAGGTATCCCTGTTAAAATCAAAATGGAGGAACTGGCATCGATTTTGTAAAAGAAAATGGAAGACGAGCCACACGCCCTGGGTCTGGCAGATCCTGATTTTCCCGCCTTTGGCAGAAAACAGGTAAACAAGTTCCAGTTCAAACTGGATTTACCTCAGAAGTACGTCGCATGGGGTCTCCCTCGCAGGGGCAGATGCTGTGGGGTCTCCTAGCAGGGGCGGATGCTGTGGGGTCTCCCTTGCAGGGGTGGATGCTGTGGGGTGTCCTAGCAGGGGCGGACGCTGTGGGGTCTCCCTTGCAAGGGCGGATGCTGTGGGGTCTCCTAGCAGGGGCACACACTATGGGGTCTCCTTGCAGGGGCGGATGCTGTGGGGTCTCCTAGCAGGGGCTGATGCTGTGGGGACTCGCTTGCAGGGGAGGATGCTGTGGGGTCTCCTAGCAGGGGCGGATGCTGTGAGGTATCCCTAGCAGGGGCAGATGCTGTGGGGTCTCCCTTACAGGGGCACACACTGTTGGGTGTCCTAGCAGGGGCGGATGCTGTGGGGTCTCCCTTGCAGGGGCAGACGCTGTGGGGGGTCTCTTAGCAGGGGCACATGCTGTGGGGTCTCCTAGCAGGGGCAGATGCTGTGGGGTCTCCCTTGCAAGGGCGGACGCTGTGGGGTCTCCTAGCAGGGGCACACGCTATGGGGTCTCCTTGCAGTGGTGGATGCTGTGGGGTCTCATAGCAGGGGCGGATGCTGTGGGGTCTCCTAGCAGTGGTGGATGCTGTGGGGTCTCATAGCAGGGGCGGATGCTGTGGGGTCTCCTAGCAGGGGGGATGCTGTGGGGTCTCCTAGAAGGGGTAGATGCTGTGGGGTCTCCTAGCAGGGGGGATGCTGTGGGGTCTCCTAGCAGGGGGGATGGTCGCATGGGGTCTCCCTCGCAGGGGCAGATGCTGTGGGGTCTCCTAGCAGGGGCTGATGCTGTGGGGACTCCCTTGCAGGGGAGGATGCTGTGGGGTCTCCTAGCAGGGGCACACACTATGGGGTCTCCTTGCAGGGGCGGATGCTGTGGGGTCTCCTAGCAGGGGCACACACTATGGGGTCTCCTTGCAGGGGCGGATGCTGTGGGGTCTCCTAGCAGGGGCGGATGCTGTGGGGTCTCCCTTGCAGGGGTGGATGCTGTGGGGTGTCCTAGCAGGGGCGGACGCTGTGGGGTCTCCCTTGCAAGGGCGGATGCTGTGGGGTCTCCTAGCAGGGGCACACACTATGGGGTCTCCTTGCAGGGGCGGATGCTGTGGGGTCTCCTAGCAGGGGCTGATGCTGTGGGGACTCCCTTGCAGGGGAGGATGCTGTGGGGTCTCCTAGCAGGGGCGGATGCTGTGAGGTATCCCTAGCAGGGGCAGATGCTGTGGGGTCTCCCTTACAGGGGCACACACTGTTGGGTGTCCTAGCAGGGGCGGATGCTGTGGGGTCTCCCTTGCAGGGGCAGACGCTGTGGGGGGTCTCTTAGCAGGGGCACATGCTGTGGGGTCTCCTAGCAGGGGCAGATGCTGTGGGGTCTCCCTTGCAGGGGAGGATGCTGTGGGGTCTCCTAGCAGGGGCGATGCTGTGGGGTCTGCCTTGCAGGGGTCTCCCACCTGAGAGGGCATAAAAGGCCGGCAGCCGGACAGTGAATGGCTTTTCCTTATTCACTTTTTCTACACCAGGCATGACTAAAGTGTGTGTGTGTGTGTGTGTGTGTGTGTGTGTAAGGGCCGGGGCAGAGCCCCTTGTCAGAGATTTTTGCGCAGGACGAGGAGAACACAGAGCCCAGCAGCGCAAACCAATCTGAAACTTTGAAAGAAAGTTTGAGGAAGGGCCAGTTTTAAGAGTCATGTCCACAAGCCGCCCCCGGCATTCAAGGGGTTTGCCTGTAATCCCCCCACCCTACACCGTAACCCATAAAGAGACTGTTGTTCAGACTGTGATGGGGGGGGAAGGGGCAGCCATAGACGACCCTTTGGGGGTGCTTCTAGGGCTGCAGAAAAAGTCACTGACACTAATCTCCTTGCCATCCCCCTGGAGAATGCAGTTTTGGGGCCACATTCCGGGAACGCGCTCTCCAGCTGGGATCAGCACCCCAGTGAATTATTCAGCACTGAAAGGGGGATGCACACACCGATTGCTCCCCCCGGTAATAATAATTGACGCTGGGCTGGGGAGTAAACCAAAGTGATTTTATTGAGGGCAAACAATTGGACATAAGGGGTTGCGAGGTGCAAACAGGCCGAGCCAAAGGAAAGACAAATTTTCAAGAACAGAAAAATGCCCAGCTAGTTCTAACGCCCCCATGCTGATGGCCAACTTACCCTAAAACTACTTATTTTGGCTAAGCCTCCAAGCCAGAGAAAATCTTTTCCCCTTCCGGGGTTCCTGGCTGTTTCCTTGGGGGTGCCATGCCAGCCAAAGAGCCAGAAAACTTTTCCCCTAAATAGACGTCCCTTTCCATGCAAGAGTGAGCCATGCACCAAAATAAGAGACAGGGACCCAGGATTGTGACGTTACAACTGATCTGTGCCACGAGGCGTTTTGCCTGAAGCATCTTGGGGTGATGCATCTGTGGATCCAAAAGTCAGTTTCAGGAAGCCTGCGGGGGGCGGGACCCGGCACCCGGCGATGGTGCATTTGTTGTTTAGGGAAGAGAGCAGGGCCAAAAAACAAGTCCAGGGTGGGAACCCAAAGCGGGGGATCAGAAATGCGAGGACAGCCTTTTGTCTTGTGAGGCCCTGGAGGTTACATATGAGGGAGGTTACATATGAGGGACACCATCTCTCCCAGGTGTCCTGGGATCCTGGGGGGTGGAGGCTACGGGACTGGGTCAGGAGCGACAGTTATTCTGCCCGAGGAAGGAGAGGAAACAATCCCCTTCTGCTGCTCCGCGATCCTCTCCAGACACTCCCCGATCTCCTCCTGCCGTTCCACTACCCTTTCCAGCTGCTCCCCGATCCCCGCCTGCTGCGCCGCAATCCTCTCCAGGAACGTATTGCTCCTCTCCATTTGCTCCTTCAAGACGTCGTCTCGTGTCTGTTTTTGCCTGTGGATCTGTGGGCGCCGGACAGCTGCTGGCGAGGGGCGGGTACGCTGCAAGTTGCGTGCGTGTCCCGCTGTAGAGAAAAGTTACAAAGACGCACGTTGCAGGAGATACACGGGGGATTCATAGAATCACAGAATCCCAGGGCTGGAAGAGACCTCAGGCGCCACTGAGTCCAGCCCCCTGCCTAAGGCAGGACCAACCCCAACTCAATCAACCCAGCCAGGGCTTTGTCAAGCCGAAACTTAAACACCTCTAGGGGTGGAGATTCCACCCCCTCCCTAGGGAATCCATCCCAGCGCTTCCCCCCCCGCCTCGGGAAATCGTTTTTCCTAATATCCAACCTAGACCTCCCCCACCGCAACTTGAGCCCATTGCTCCTTGTTCTGTCACTACTGAGAACAGCCTCTCTCCATCCTCTTTGGAACCTCCCTTCAGGAAGTTGCAGGCTGCTCTCAAATCCCCCCTACAACCCAAAGCATCATCTGTTCACAGACAGCCAAGGTCTCTCCAAAGCCAATGGAGATGTGTCCTGTGCAAGGCCAAAGTGATGCTCTGAAGTGGCCACTGTACAGCTGGTACCCAACCGAGTTTTCAAGGGAGGATCAGGGCACCCGTGGTTGGCAGGCAGGCATGATCTCACAGGTGGAGGGATGTGTCCGTGGCCCGGAAGCCTCTTTCCACCCATAGGGCTCCTGTGGGACGGGGAAGGAGCCCTCTCCCAGGATGGGAGGTTTCCCTGGTGGGAAGGGGCCCTACTGTGGAGGACGGACGAAGGCTTCCCTCCCCAGGAACCTTGTGAGAATGATCAAAGAGTCCCCCTGTGAGAGCCTCATGGAGCTGCGCAGGGAGAATTCCTGCTATGTCTCCAGGCCGGTTCACAAGCCGTTCCGGCCTCCCCCCTCCGTTACACGTGCAATGAACCCTACGCGTAGCATGAAAAAAAAAACTGTGAACTCACCAGACGGGCCCTCCCCAGGATCCGTGCTGTCCCGGAAAGAGGAGTTTGCTGCCTGATTGTTTCCCACAGCCTGCTCTTCCCGCCCCTGGGCCAGGCTGTTCTCCACACACCGGTTGGGAGTGCGTGGGGTGGATCCCACACTCTGCCTGGGGATGCTGATCTGGTCCTCCCGCAGGATGGGATGCAGCTGGTTATGGAAGGGGCATCTTTCCGGCGATGCACCGGGCTGTGCGTTTGCCTTCTCTGCTTTGAAATAGGCGTACTTCAGATCCCTCATTTTCGTACTGCACTGCTGGAAGTTTCTGTTGTGTCCTTTCTTCTTCATGCAGCGTGCTATCTTCCTTTCAGTGGCCGCTTTTCTGCTTCTGAGCCCAGAGCGAATGGATGGCTGACTCCACACCTCGATGAGGTCCAGTGTCTCCTGATCATTCCACCTTGATGCTCTTATGGGCTTCTTGGTAACTGACCTGGAAGCCATGGCCACGGGTGCTGCCTGTCCAGGGGTGCCCGCACAGTGCTGGTGCGGGAAACGAAACTCAAACTTTCCCAGGGCTTTTCCTCTTTACCTGCAGAGCAACAGAGGTGCAAGTTCTGTCCCGAGTGGTCGGAGCAGGGCATTGTGGGGTGCCCTCTGGAGGCCAAGAACTTTGATTTTTCTCAACACGGGGTCCACACTCACGTTAATTCCACCAAATTTGGCAGGGCTTCTTATCCTAGAATCCTAGAATACTAGGACTGGAAGGGACCTCGAGAGGTCATCGAGTTCAGTCCCCTGCCCTCATGGCAGGACCAAATACTGTCTAGACCATCCCTGATAGACATTTATCTAACCTGCTCTTCAATATCTCCAGAGATGGGGATTCCACAACCTCCCTGGGCAATTTATCCCAGGCTATGTCTAGACTGGCATGATTTTCCGGAAATGCTTTGAACGGAAAAGTTTTCCGTTCAAAGCATTTTTGGAAAAATTGCGTCTAGATTGGCAGGATGCTTTTCCACAAAAGCACGTTTTGCAGAAAAGCGTCCTTGGCCAATCTAGACGCGCTTTCCTGCAAAAAAGGCCCCGATCGCCATTTTCGCAATCGGGGCTTTTTTGTGGAAAACAGGACTGTGCTGTTTACACTGGCCCCCTTGCACAAATGATTTGCGCAAGAGGGCTTTTGCCCGAACGGGAGCAGCACAGTATTTCTGCAAGAACACTGCCAATCTTACATGAGATCGTCTGTGTTCTTGTGGAAATTCAAGCGGCCAGTGTAGACAGCTGGCAAGTTTTTCTGCAAAATCAGATGATTTTGCGGAAAAACTTGCCAGTCTAGACACAGCCCCAGTGTTTAACCACCCTGACAGGTAGGAACTTTTTCCTAATGTCCAACCTAAACCTCCCTTGCTGCAGTTTAAGCCCATTGCTTCTTGTCCTATCCTCAGAGGCTAAGGAGAACAATTTTTCTCCCTCCTCCTTGTGACACTTTTAAATACCTGAAAACTGCTATCATGTCCCCTCTCAGTCTTCTCCTTTCCAGACTAAATAAGCCCAATTCTTTCAGTCTTTATGAAAAACAGGAGTTCCAAAACCAACTTCAGAAGCCACGAAAAGGCAAGGGCTTAGTGGAGTGGACTCATTGTTTAGAAAAGTGACCATAGGTGGCGAAATTCGACCTACACTCCGAGTACAGACGGGGTCCCCAAGTCCTACGTTCACCCCCAAACATTCTCCATGTCTCGCACCCATGGAGTGTCCCTGGGGGAATGGAATGAGTCAGACCAAAGGCCCATCTACCCCGGTGTCCTGGCTCTCAACAGCTGCCAATGCCAGGAGCCCCAGAGCGAGGGAACCAAAGAGGGAATCACGTGTAGCCCCTAGTTACTTACAAGCCCTGGGCTGCTAGTGCCGAGCCAAGATCCCTCCCCGGCGGAACGTGCAGGCAGCGGTGGGATCCCTCGTCCGCACAGCTGCACGGAGTCAATTCCCTCTGGATCAGGGGAAGGATCCAAGAGACGCCGGGCTCTGAATTTGTCTCCCCGCCTGCCTGGGGCTCTGTTCTGGCTCAGGGCCCGAAGGAAGAGATAGCGAGGGATTGGGGCCAGTGGGTCCTTACCGTCCGTCTCCGGCCTCGGTGTCTCCGCACACGCACGGTCCGGGAGCTGCGCAGTCCGGCTCGGTGCCTCAGTGACCCGACTGGGAGCCAGCCTCTCTTATACCCGCCTGAAGGAGCCCAGACGCAGGGCGCACCCTGCCCACGCCCACCGGAGACTTGCCATGACACAGAGCATTGGGCAAGCGCCTTCACGCACTCCTGGCCCCGTTCCCGGACTCGCCCCCAGGGTGGAAGAGAGGTTTGTTTTCAATTTCCTTTTCCCCAGAAATGGGCCTTCCCCCCCCTGACACACCGGAGGCCCGTGCTCCTCCCGCCTCCTGCCACACACACATCACGCTCTTTCCAG